CGATCCCGAGACGATCCCACAGCCCCCGCCGCCGGGATCGCCAGCCCCCTGCGAGCTGCCGCTGGGATCGCCCGATCCCAACACGATCCCAGAGCTGTGGGGCGTTGGATCGCCCGACCCCAACGCGATCCCGGCGCTGTGGGGCGTGGGATCGTTCGATCCCGAGACGATCCCGGGGCTGTGGGGCGTGGGATCGTTCGATCCCAGCGCTGCTGGGGAGTTCAGAGCCACGCACTTGAGCCGCTGCAGCAAATAAAAAGTCTCCGAATAAAGAGGCCCCGAAAGGCTGCTGCGGATGTCGAGCAGCAGCAGCTGCGGTGTACATACACTGCAGCAGTAGCGCTCCCGCAGCAAACCCCGAGACGGCAAACCCAGCAGCCGCGTCAGCGAAGACTCCGGCACTGAACGCAAACCCTAAACCCTAAACCCTAAACCCTAAACCCTAAAGTTTGGGCGCAGAGACACTGCGCAGGCAGGAGAGGTGCGCAGCGCAAACCCGAGACCGTAAACCCTTAACTCCGATATATCCAGCAGCACAAACCCTAAACCCTAAACCCTAAACCCTAAACCCTCAGCTCTAAAACCGCAGGTAGTGGGAGGCAGGTGCATTTACACTAAACCCTAAACCCTTGGCACCGAGACACACGCAACTGATAAACCCTTAGCTCCAAAAGCAGCGAACAGTACCGCAGGCCTCTAAACCCTAAACCCTAAACCCTAAACCCTAAGCCCTAGCGAATCTGACATTTGATGTCGGCGTCCAGCTCTCGAGAGATTTGGAAAAAGCGGCCGCTGAAAATTCCTCTTTTGGGGCATCTGATCTCGGCCTCCTCTGCTGCAGCAGCAGCAGCTGCTGTTGCTGCTGCTGCTCCATCTGCTGCTGTTGCTGTGCCTGCTGCTCCATCCGCTGGTGCTGCTGCACCATCTGCTGCTGCTGCTGCAGCAAGCGCAGCAGCAGGATCCCGCTCGAGGCTCCCTTCTACTGCTGCAGCAGGTTTAAACGATTCAGTTTTGCTGCTGCTGCTGGCCTTCTCGTTGCTGCTGCTGCTCCCGATATCGCTGCTGCTGCTGGCTTTGCCGTTGCTGCTGCAGCAGCGCCAGGGCTGAAAAGGCTGGGGGATTTTTGCGTCCTTCTCTTTCAAAGCGCTGAAGCAGCAGCAGCAGCAACAACAACAGCAGCAGCAGCTGCAGCGATAAGGAAAGCAACAGCTGCTGCAGCAAGCATCCATAGCTGCAGCTGCCTCGGCAGAAGCAGCAGCAAGAATCAGCAGGCATCAGTAGCAGCAGCAACCACAGCTGCAACAGCTCCAGCAGAAGCAGCGACAACAGAAGCAGCAGCAGCAGCAGCAGCAGCAGCAGCAGCAGCAAACCTCGTGAGGGGGCTTGTCTCGGGGTTCAGCACAACTGCATCAAGAATCTCCTTGAGCGAAACATCGCAAGTGAAGCTGCTGCCCTTTTCCTCTAAAGGCCGCAGCAGATTTGCTGCTGCTGCTGCTGCTGCAGCTGCTGCTGCTGCTGCTGCTGCAGGGT